TCTACAGGGCCAGGCATGAGTTGCCTCCTGCAGAATAGATTAATTCCAATTGGAATGCTATTGGCTACCTCAATAAGATTTAAGCCATTACTGCCTCAGTTGGTATATCTTTCTAGGCTTGTCATTATGATAGCTTCCATCTTTCACATCTGGATAAGATCCTTGATGGCTTTTTTTTTTTTTATGCCATCAGCCTGCATAGCACTTCCTTGCACTGTGAGGTCTAACCATCAGGGAGGATTTTTCAGGTCAGTACCAATCTGATTTCTCCGTGTTCTGTGATCAAAGCATGTGGTGTCTGCAGCAGTGGGGTCTTACCTATTCTAGCCTGGTCTGGGTAACCAAGAGGGATGGCAAGAGTCCTATTGTTTGGGAGATCTATGGACCCCACACCAACACCATGACAAAAGGTATCAAACATGGCACTGGCTTTTTGCCTGTGGCTTCTGGGAGGGACATTCTGTGTAAGGTAAAGCTAATGAAACCTTTTAAATACACATTTTTAAAGAAAGGTTGTATAACAGTAGTTTTCATATAGCTTTTTCTTTTCTCTCTTTTTTTTTCTTCATATTGTTTTTTCAAACATCCCTCTTCCTTCAGCATTCTGAATTTTATCTGGAAAGCCTATAATGAAGAATAAGGGAGAGAGAGAGGGCTGAAGAGATGGTTCAGAGACCAAGAGTACTTCCCGATTTTCCAGAGAACCTAGCCCTGGGAACCAAGACTCCAGGAGGTTAGGTGATTCATCCAAAGCCACACAGCCTATGGACTGTCCTTCTTCTGTCCCTCCTCTGGCTGCTCCAGGTTCAGCCTTTTTCTTCCCCAGCCTGAGATTCCTAGAGAAATTCTGATTCCTTCAGAATTTTAATGTTTTAATGGCCTGACAGCCAGAGGAAGGGTACAGGGTCTCTCTAGACCAGTAGTTCTTCATTTCGAGACGCTTTAATACAGTTCCTCATGTTGTGGTGACCCCCAACCATGAAAGTTTTTATAAAACCATAAAATTGCTACTTTGTAACTGTAATTTTGCTGCTTTTATGAATCATAATATAAATATGATATGCAGGATGATCTTAGGTGACCCCTGTGAAAGGGTCACTCAATACCCAAAGGGGTCATGACCTACAGGCTGAGAACCACTGCTTTAGAACGTTTCCATTCCTGCCAAACAGATCGCGTGGCAAAGCTTTGGGCTCGTCACCAGTATGGCATTTTCTGGAAACATATGATGTGTTTGTTTGATTGTTATGGGTTGATACAGGGTCTCTCTACATAGCCCTGGCGGTCCTAGAACTCACTATGTAGACCAGGTTGGCCTTGAACTCCTGAAGACATTTACGGTTGGTGTGACACTGTTACATTGCAGCACAGTTGACTTCCTGTTCTTGGGGTACTCAGCACTCTCTCCAAGTCTCAGTGTGGAGCATAGGCTGGCCTGGAACAGACCATTCTCCTGCCTCAGTCTCCTGGGCACGCAGATGACGGAGATCACAGACCTACAGCAGTTCGTGATGGGCGTTCACAACACATCATGTAGTACAGTCCTCTGTGGGCATCATGGACCTCTCAGCCACGAGAGCTCCACAGAGTGAGACGATTCTGCGCCGGGGAGAGGGAGGTCTCTCGGCTGAGCATTGACAGACTGAGGAAGAAAGCAGTGCGGTAGAAGGATAGAAGGGCATTCCTGGCGGGTGGAGCAGGATGTGGGGTACACCCAGAGAATGGTGGGAGCTGGGAGCAGCAATGGTGTAGACGCATGGTATTGCATGCTGAGAGATAAGACCAGGGATGGTGGCTCTGTGGGTCCATAAAGGGTCATGGAAAGTGCCCAGCAAAGGAGGAACTTGGGAAGATTCAGCCCTACACGATCTGGTCAGAAGAACATCCCTTTAAGCACTGAGCAGAAAAGGACTTCCTACACGTTGACTGTATGCTCTCTCTCTCTCTCTCTCTCACATACACACACACACAAGCATTTCCTCCAAATAAACTATTTCATTAGGGGACGGAGGAGGACATGGTCTTGCTATGTAGCCCAGGTTGGACCTCAAACTCACATTCCTTCTCCCTCAGCCTTTCAAGCAGTAGGGCTATAGGTCTGAACTACCATCTGAACTACCAGCTGCATAAATGCTTAGGGGTGGAATCCCTCACTGCTGTGACTGGCCAAGTTTATACCTGGGTCTAACCACCATCAGGTGGACAGTTCAATCAATTTCTCTTAAAGTGCACATCTTTCGGTACAGCAGTAAAAGCCAGTGATGGTAGGTTCACTATCCAGATGTTCTTCCAGCCACTTCTCCTGAAATCGTTTTAGTTGTTTCAGATAATTAAGAATTGCACACGGAGAGAACCAAGACTCGGAGCATTAAATAACTTGTCCAAAGTCACACGGCCTGTGTAGTCAGTTCTGCCCTGACTGAAAAGCTCCCCGGGCAGGAGTAAGTGGTGACACATGGGTGGCTTCGTGAGCTTGGGCCTGCAATTCCAACTCTAGGAAACAGGGACCTAAAATATTCATCTAACGATGAGGTTCCAAAGATTAGATGGGCCACATCAGCAGGTCCTGGTGGTGTTCGTTCACTTAGACATGAAGTTCAAAGGTCTGAAGCCAGTCTGGGATAAAAAAATAAATCCTGGTCCATCCTGGACAACATGGCAGAATCCTATCAAGGGCCTTACCATGCTGGGGCTCCAGGGCAGTTCACTAAGAGACATTTATCAATGACAACGGCACACTGGGACATGCTGACCCCTGGCGGCTAACTTGAGTGTTTCCCTAACGTGAGCCAGGGCTTGCCCCGGTATCCAACCGCCAGAATGTTCTAAGACAAAAGCCATAAGGCCTGGGGGCCGACTGGCTGTCCCTACTCACTGTAGCCTCCTGCCCATCGCTCTCTCCAGAAGATGCCTTGCTGGCCTGCTTTGGGGTGGATATACCCTTTGGGGTATATTCCATGTGCGCCTCAAGTAACCCAACAGAGCTCCCCTGAGTCAAATGAGAGTCCTACCATGAGGAGCACTTAAGGTTTGTGCGGAGAAAGAATAGCCACCAAGCTCTTACCAGCTCCTGGGAGAGGAAACAGCGTCTCCTGGACTTTCAGGCCACTCCCCAGGTCATCTTCGGCAGCAAGCACCTCAACAGTGCCGAGAGGTGGGAGCAAGGAAGGGCTAGAAGTATCTAGGTTGGGGAGGACTAGGGAGAGGGCTTCATCTATACAGCCACATTCTGTATGCTGGGTGCAGGCCTTCCTGTCTTCAGTCACCTGTGCTGTTTACAGCTCCTCAAGCATGCTCTGTAAGCAAACCGAAGGAGCTCATTGGCTGGCTCCCCAGGTGACTGTAATGGAAGTTTTGGGTTCTTTGTGAACTCAGTCGTTACGTAAATATGTTTTAATCCCGAGTGTGGGATTTTAGTTGGGCTTCAGTTTGTCCACAGCTGTTGTCCTATAAGTGTACCCTTTACCGGTCGGTAACGGCCTGCCTCATGGAGAGGGGCGTGGTCTAGGATCCCGAGGATATAAATACGAGAGCCAAGAGACAGTGTGGCATGTGGTGCGGAGCAGTTTGAAGAGACCACAGATGGATGGTGTGCTGGCTTGGAGCAGAAACGCTTCGGGGCACAGCGGCGTGGAGGAGACTGTTGGCTTGTTTGCTGTTGATGGAGATTGGTAGAGCCCTATAAGAACCCAGTGACCCCAAACAGCTGGGAGAGGTAAAGGGGTCTGTACCCCCTCTCCCCACTAACCTTCTCTCTCCTACTTAGGGTTGGGGGGTTGAAACGGAGGCAAAGGCTTTAAGGAACCTCAAACAACAGAATTTTTAAATGAGCACTACAGTGAAGTTGTGCAGAAACAAACTTTGGTTTGTCCTGGGATGCATTCGGGTGAGTTGATGGTGCCTAGTATCCCCCCCCCAGGGCGTTCAGGACATACTTATTGTGGTTAGTCCCTTCCTGTTTCTAATTTATAAGCTTAAACCTGATCAGACATGAACTAGATAAGCCACACACAGCATAGAGGGTCTGGTGGCATCTCTGGTGTGAGCCATCCTTGAAAGACCCGGCTTCTGACAGTCATTATAGAGCATGGTGTTGTTCCCAGCTGAGTTCGAAGGCTTTGCTTGGCTTTAAAGATGACATGATGGTTGCAATTTCACCATAGAATTGAACACCTTTTTCTAACCTAAAGAAGCCGGTGTTTCAACATTGACCGGCAACACACTGCTCTGGCATGACTCTCTCTCCTTTCCAGTCCTAAATTATAAGGATCAGAGACAGCAAGCGACCTAGCAGAGGCCTCACAGCATAAAGTTACAAGACTCAAACATGCTCTGCTCTTTCATCCATTTTCTTTAAGTTTTCATTTCATTTTTTTTTTATAACCAAATAAAATCCCATCATGTGCTATGTTCTCATTATCCATTCATCTGTTGGTGGGCTGGTTCCATTTCCTAGCTATTGTGGGCAGAGTGGCAATGAACACGGGGAGTCAAGTACCTCTGTGTGAGTCTAGAGTTGTCTGGGTGTAAGCCCAGGAGCTGTATATGACCATTTATTCCATGAGCTTTCATACTGACTTCCATAATGGCTGCATTAGTTTGCATTTCACCAGCAGTGAAACAAGGATAAGGATTCCTCTTCTTCCCTATCTTCTCCAAGATTTTCCAACCATTCCTCTCAAGGTCTAGAATCCAGTCCAGACTCCCTGCTGTAGCTCTTGAGGTTAACCATCACCTGGATGATACCACCCCACCCATAACCCAAAACAATCTCCCATTTTCCCCAACCTAAACCTTCCTTTCAGATTTTTTTTTCCCTTGGATTTAATCCTCCTCTTAAATAGGCTTGGGAACATCCTTCCCTTGTTCTCTCCACACCCCTTCCTGCAGAACCAGGAAAGCAGCCCACTTCTCCCTCAGTTTACCTGCTCCAGGAAAACCACCACTGGTTTGGCTGCATCCCCACCCTCCACACTTATTCCCATGAAGAAAATCACACGACACTTTTGAAGGGTTTATTGGCCTAGCATTTTGGTTTGTGGTTGTCTTGCCTCCCAACCAGACCCCAGCAGTTCCTGTGGCAGGGATGGGCTGGCCAGAGACTCGGTCCTGAGTATTGTGATCTTAGGAGTGTTCTTTGCCCCCTCTGGGCCTTAATATCCTTCTCCTCCATGGGAGGATATAACTTTTCCATCAGAAGATAGGCCCTGAGGCTGACAGGTACTTGAGTGCTTAGAGCACTGGCTGTTCTTGCAGAGGAACCAGATTCAGTTCTCAGCACCACATGGCGGCTCACAACTATCCCTAATTCCAGTTTCAGGGGGTCTAACGACCTCTTTTAACCTCCAAGGGTGTGCACATACATTCATACACACAGGTAAAACACTTACACACATAAAATAAATACTTTAAAAAAAAAAGATTTCAAAAGACAGGCCCAGCCAGTGTCCTTTCCCACTCAGTACCATGGCCACTGATGCAGACAGGGTCGGGTCCCTCCTCTGGCACTCTCTGTAGCCACCACTCCTCAAGGCCTTGGCCTCTAAGCTTCTATCAGTTTGAACTCACAGATGCCAGTGCTGTGGACCCCAAACAGCCATGCATCCACATCCTTTGATGTGAGTGGGTCAAACACGGGCAAGGCACAGGACAGGGTCAAGAGGAGCTGGGCTTCCCCACCGATGGGTACAGCTTGCGCAGACTGGAGTCCAGGAGGAAGTCTACCGACCTACAGGGAGAGAAGACCTGGTGAGCAGATAGCCAAGGGTGAGGAGATGCAAGAAACATTGGATGAGGGGGAGGGACTCCTGGATACAGGGTCCCAAAAGCAACTACGTAGGGCCCCATTTTATCATTCTCCTCCCACTTGGGCTATTTAGGAAAATCAAACCTAAGAAGCCATCTTCCTTCTCTTTCTACAGTTGAGGAAACTGAGGCACAGTGGTTAAAGGGCTCACTGTGAGGCTTAGTGTAGGTCATGCTCCCAAACACGCACAAGGGCCCCTTCCTCACACTCTGTGTTGGTCTACTTAGGTTGCTACCTACCTACCTCTAGTTCTTTGTTTTAGATTAAAAATATATATATATTTCTGTATCTGGGCAGTGCTGGCTCACACCTTCAATCCCAGCACTTGGGAGGAAGAGGCAGGCAGATCTCTGAGTTTGAGGCCAGCCTGGTCTACAGAGTGAGTTTCAGGACAGCCAGAGCTATACAGAAAAACCCTATTTCGAAAAAAAAAATCTGTATTTTTTCATGTACATGAGTGTTCTATTTGTATATACACCAGCATGGAAGAAGAAGGCATCAGATCCCATTATAGTTATAAGCCACCACCATGGTTGCTGGGAACTGAACTCAGGACTTCTGGAAGAGCAGCCAGTGCTCTTAACCTTTGAGCCATCTCTCCAGCCTGGTCCTACCTCTAGTTCTAAGAGCAAACACATGACACAGAACTGCCCAATCAGAAGGACAAAGGCTCAGAATGGGCACCTTGTCTGAATGAACCAATGAAAGTCTTCCTTGGGCCAGGCACAGTGGCTCACGCCTATAATCTTAGCACTCTGGGACACAGAGGGAGGTGGATCACTGTGAGTTTGAGGCCAGCCTGGTCTACAGAGTGAGTTCCAGGACAGCCAAGGCTACACAGAGAAACCCTGTCTCTGTGTAAACAAAACAAAACAAAACAAAAAAGACGTTAGGAGGGTCAGGACGCTATGAGTACTGGGGGTGGGGGGGTATGGCAGGAGACTGAATGAAACCAGCAGCTGAGTAGAATGGAGAGAAAAGCTGAAGGATGGGGAGAACTGTGACAGCAGCACTTGAATGCCTCAACCCAGCCATGCCTGAAAACATCCTCCCAAGCCTTTTGTTTGTTTGCTTTTTGAGATAGGAATTCTCTGTGTGGCTCTGGCTGTCCTGGAACCTGCTCTGTAGACCAGGCTGGCCTCAAACTCAGAGATCCACCTGCCTCTGCCTCCCGAGTGCTGGGATTAAAGGCCACTGCCACCACCTCCCAGCTTCTCTCCCAAGACTTTATTTTTATTTACCTAGCCAACTGAGTTTGACACGTCACGATCACCTCCCTCAAATCCACTACTCCAGGGCACCTGCTCCTGGCTGCCTCTGCTATTTCACAACACTAGTCTTTCCTTCTGGGAACTTACTTGTCCTTTGCCCAGGACTCTCAGGGCACTCTACTTCCTCTTCTGCCAAAGTATCTGCCATATCATATGACAAGAGCACAGATGCCCTCTCTCTGTCAGCCCACAGCTCTCCCAGCCTAACTCTACCTGCAGAATGACTGGTCCTTGAGGCCAGAAAGGCACCTACCTGTCAATGGGATGGACGATGAAGGGAATGGCCAGCAGCCCAAGTGTGGTGGTGGTCCATTTGCGGAAAGGCAGGGGCCAGCGGGTCATGGTACCCAGGAGATACAGAGAGGCGGCGCACAGGCGGTTGATGGTGAAGCCTGGGATGGCTACGGAGGCCAGAGACTGCCACACAAAGGTGTCGACCACAGCCAGGGTCACTCTGGTGCTTCGGCCTGCTTCAGGACCCGGCACCTGGTAGGTACAGAGGTATTTGACCCAGCTGGGGCAGAGGCAGACCGGGAGGAGGAAAAAGCAGGACAGAAGATGGGAGGGGGACTCCGGGCTGTAAGACATTCAGGGTTGGGGGTATCTACACCCAGGAGGGGTACCAATTGTCACCTCCAACCCACGTGGTTTGGTCAGGTGGTTGATCCTACCAAAAGGATTCGCTCACGGACCTCACTTAAGACGCTAATGCGGATAGGACTGCCCCACATGCGAGGCTACACACTGACCTACACCAGGATGGGGGTGGAAGGGTTAACTAACACAACACTCACCTCTCCTGCCTTCTTGCCTTTGTCTATGGCATCGGCCAGCACGTAGGAGCTGGACACGCCATAGCTCAACCACACCACAGCGGCAGGCACCAGGGAGCGGAAAGCCTCCCCCACTTCATTGGCATAGCCTGGAGGGAAAAGGCATTTAATTCTCGGGCCCACGGGCTGTTCCACGAGGGGGCGCTACACAGAGAGCTGCTTCTAAACCTAACCCGCTAACCTACGGAGGGGCCGGTGACCTCAGCCAAGTGACTTTACCTTTCGGACTGACGCCAACAAAGAAGTTCATGGCTGACTGATCAAAGTTCCCAGCCGCGGTTCTGGGGATCTGCACCAGTTAGCGACTGGAAGCCGGGGAATGACTGGGTACCACCGACACTGACCAAGTGCCAGGCCTTTCAGGGCCTTGCCACAAGCCGGCTCTTACCATCAGCACCCGACAAGAGTGCCTCGTGTTCAGCCCTTTTTGCAGAAGAGGAAACTGAGGCTTAGGAAGAGCCAGGAAATGGCAGGCTGAGCTAGGAGTCCAGACCCTCTGACCCCCAAGGCTAGTGCGCAGTCATGGCAGAGGGCAACCTACCACTCGGTTGGTGCCTTCAGCAGAGCCCCACGGACAGAGCTGAGGCCAGAGTGTCGTGTGACCTTGGAGAAGTCCTTAGCCACCCCCTGAGCCCAATCTCCAGCCCAAACTGTACAAGAAGTAAGCCCTTTCCTTCAGACTCCAGGTCGGTATCCCACGACTACTGTTTTCCCAGAGTGGTGGGGTCGCCGGGTCCGTCGTCACTCCCACACTCACCGAGGTAGCGCACGCACGAGTCCCGGTAAAGGTCGCGCTCGGCGCCCTGCTGCTGCGGCTCCGGCATGACTCCCCCTGCACTGTGGAATCACCGTAAGGCAGAGCCTCACCGCCACCTCCGTCTCCACTCAGCTAACACCGGCCCGCCAAAGTCCGAAGCTGAAGGACGGGTCTGGCTATCGCCGCTGCAGGGAGTGTCTGAAAAGTGCCTTGTACGCCCAAGCCCGACAGGGTCGTTAATGCACAACTCTCCCCGGCTTGATTAGTTTTTGTAGCTAAACAAGTCAGGGGTCCAGTCTGGAGGATGGGATCTTCTTAGGTGTGCGATTTCTGGGAAAGGTGTGTTTTTCTGAACCTTGGTTCGTGTGGAAACGAGAGGCATGCCAGCCTCCACTACCGTAGACGGTCACAAGGGACTAGTTACAGCAGTCATCACGTGTTCCGTTGATTGAGGTTTGCTTCCTTAAGCTCTTGCACTAGCATTGGGTCCGATTTTACCGTGGGGAAATGAACGAATAAAACAGAGGACGCTGGGGGACTTCGTTATTACAAGGCGAACCCTGTCCCTCCGGAGAAAAGCCGTGTGAATCCTCTGGGATATCGGAGAGGCAATGTTAAAGGTCCCTGGAGACGAATCCTGCTTGGGCCACCACCGCCTCCTCCAATCCTACTGCTCACCGCTGTAAAACCAAATGGATGGGGCTGGAGAGATGACTTAGTGGTTGAGAGCGCTTGCACCTATCCCAGAGGACCCTTGCTCCCTTTCCAGCACCCACACAAGGTGTCTCACAGGCACCTGCGGCTCCGCCTCCAGGGCATCTGACACTTCTGGCCTCCACACGCACCCCCACAGACATGCTGTACCCTCAGAGAGAGACACAAACAGACACGTGAATGCAAAGAAAAATCTGTCTTAAATCTTTTCAAAAGCCGGGCACGCTTTTAATCCCAAAATTTAGGAGGCAGAAACAGGAAACTCATGTGCGTTCGAGGGCAGCTACACAGGGAGTTCCAGGCCTGGCTGGAGCTACATAGTATAAATAAATAAATAAATAAATAAATAAATAAATAAATAAATAAATAAATAAATAAATGAATGAATGAATGAATGAATGAATAAATAAATAAATAAATAATGTTATAAATAAATAAATAAATAAATGGATGAATGAATGAATGAATGAATGAATGAATGAATGAATGAATGAATGAATGAATAAATAAATAAAACAGACTTTGCTGGTTAAGAACAGGGGTTTTGCACAGTTCTTTTAGCTTTCTGTAAATTAATGACCAAAGATCCAAAAGGTGGATACCGACTCCCTACCAAGGCCACCGTTTGCAACCCGTGTCCTCCCTCCTAGGACCAATCGGGTCAGTGGGGTCCAGGGCCCCGCGCGGGTGGGGAAGGTACATCTGTTCGCAGGCCTTGAAACACCGGTCGTGCTGGAGCGGAATTGGGAGACGGTCCCTAAAACCACGTGACGCTAATCCCCTGCCTCCCTCCCACCACTGAGTACCCGTTGCAGACGCAGAACACGTTCGCCGCGCCGGTCGGTGCGGACGAACCATCCGACACGTCTTGAACCACCGACTAGGGCAGGGCTTCCGCCCTCACCGTGGAGGCTGTCGGGAGCATTCTGTGACATCAACAAAGATGGCGTACGACACTCAGCGGCTGAACCGGTCAGGAGGCAACTTGGTAGGACTTCGGAGAAAGTTCACGCGAGAGGAGAGGATTCGTGCGTCATTTTCGCTAGAATCTGCTACTTGGCTTCTGAGAAGTTGTGGTTTGGGTCTGGGTGTTAGGAAGTCGGCGATGGGCAATGAATTCTATTCGCTTTGCTTTGAAAATTGATTTATTCATTGGTTAATGTACCTAACAGCATTGTAAACCAAGGCCAGGATATACTCCTGAGATATGTGACTAGATCCTGGGTAGGTAGCCTCGGCCCTTTCTGGTCGCTAGCCCTGCACCTGCCTAGAGCTCCCTGCCCTTGGTGAAACGAGTCCGCAGGCTGAGTCCGGGACCCATTCCGCCGGGACAGGGGTTTCCCGGAAGGGCCTGGGGCCGCCTTCAGGAATTCTGGGCAGCCCATAACCTGGCGTTTGCTCGCAAAGTTGTGTAAGGTCAAGTGGTGCTATTGCAAGGTGGCCGCCCCTTGCCCCTGGCTCAGATGCTTGCTTAGGCAATGGCCACCTTCCCGGGCAACCTCGCTCTCTGGTTACCTGCGTCCCCAGGCAAGAGGAAGCCACTGCCATTACACACCTCCACTGAGAAGGGCCTGCCACGCCCTTGCCCAGGTCAGTCAGGAGACCTGTTCTCAGGCACCGTGGGAGACTAGACTGGCAAGTGCACTGAGGGCTTTCAGTCCCACTTGTCATTTTTGGGTAAGGTTGCTCAAGTGGAGGTTCTCTCAGTGAGAGGCTTAGGACCCACCCACAGTCCTTTCCTATCTATGATCCCTGAAGTTAATTACCCTTGTGCTTTTGGAGGGTTTCTCGCTTATTTTCCACTGGAGAACAGTGGTTCTGGGGCACTGGCAACCATTAGTAATTAAACAGGCAGCCCGTGGGGCCCAGGAGTTGGTGAGGTTCTCAAGGGGAGAGAGAGGGCCTCTGTCTGCCTTCCAGTGTTGACTTGGGCCACTCCTGAGAGTTGGAGAGGGGGGAGAGATACTCAAGCCTTAGGACAAAAAAGTTTCAAAGAGCTTCAGCTACTCATCACATGTCTAGCAGCCTGCTACACTGCAACCATCATTACGATCATGGAGCTTTGTTCCATGTTCATTTAGGAGCAAGTTTCTCCTCAGCAGCTAGCTTCCCTGAGTGTACCATCCCAACCTCTTCGATTCTAATTTCTTCCCTGCTGCCATCCTGTGCACCCTTCCCCTCCCTCTCTCCCCTGTCACTGGGCAGTGAAGCTGACAAGGTCTTCAAGGTAGACACCATTACAGCCAGTCTCTGGAGACCCCTTAATAGTCTGATGACAAGAACACCACTCTAGCCATTTGTCGTCTTCTGATTCTGAATGGGATTCTCCCGTCCAGCCTGAAGTCTTTCCTCCAGCCCAGTTTCATCGGGCTACTAGGTTTTAGGAAAATGACTACTACAAAGAAACAGGAAGACACTGAGGGGGCCGGGCCTGCTGCAGAAGGGGGTGGGGCTGTTATTTGGGGGGGAGTGTCCCCTGCTCATTCATCTTCTCTTCTGCTGCTTTGTCTGGAAGCAGGACCTCCACAGTGAAACTGACTTTCTTGGCATGGATGAAGCTGTAGGTGTTGTCAAACCGCAGGACATCTGAGGGAGCAGAAAACCAAACATTCAGGCAGTTCCCACCAAGAGGTGAGGGGTGGCGAATGGGACTGGGTTTTACTGACTGAGCAGGATGGTGTGGTGAGAGATGGAGGTGAAGGTAGTGTAACAGCCCTTGGTCTTCTGAAACTCAGTCTCACTGGGTTGACAATGTGCTCATAAAGTGAAAAAGATAATATATGACAGGGAACAGGCCAAGTGAGAGGAGTGACAGAGAGACTCACATCTGTAACAGCTTGGAAGGACAAGGTCTCTGGGACCAAAGGCATGGCTACTTCAGAACAGGCAGAATAATATTAGCACCCACAGTGGTTGTGATGTCTGTGGGCGAAAGCATGGATTTGTAGTCTATCTGTGTGATCACATTCTTCCCTACAACAACTCTGATTCAGCAGTAGTCCTTTTAGCTTCAGCTAAAAGGGTTTTTTTATGCCACACAGTGAGTGATGGCGGGGTTGGGGTTTCCCTCCGGCTTGCGTTCCTGCCCATAGCACTGCCTGATTTGGACCCTGGGAAGCCTGGCCCATTCTGCTTCTCTGCAGACTTTATGAAGTAGGTGCTTGCTCTCCGGGAAGAGTAATGGGGCAAAGATGCTCCCTGCATGCCTGCTCATAATGACAAAAGGATGGATCCCCAACACAGAAAGGTTCAGGGCCAGCCTGGGCTACGCACTGTTTATTGAGTCCAGGCTGGGCTGTATAGGCAAAGTGAAAGGGGGTGGGGACGTATCGGGGAGAATGTCTAAGATGGGGGGGGGGGGGGCGGAATAAACTGCAGGACAGTTTGTGACATTTTTGTTAATTTGTGTTTTAAAAAAAAAACTTTTTTTTTTTTTTTTTTGGCCTTTTTATTTGTCTTAGCGGGTTTCTGATGATAGCACCCGGGAATGATACTGTTTTGGAGGGAAGTTTTCCTCACAGCCTTCAGTGAGTTTTACACTATGAAAGTTTCTTCAAGCATACACCTGAATGACACCCATGATCCTTGTGAGTGTGTCTGTGCGAGTACTGGCCGAGCTTGTTATGGAAATGCGTCTCTGAAGGGCTGGACAGTGTTTGGGAGACTGGCAGGTGAGAAGGCTGTTAACTGTGCTTTCCTCTGGGAAGAGCATGGACGCAGTTGGCAGAGACAGCTTCTAAGCCTTGGCAGCCGAACAGGCTTGCTTTTACTCTCACCCTGTTTCTTTGCAGGCTTGTTCCATTTCACTCAAAGGCCCCTTCAAGCTAAGCTAAGCTAAGCTAAGCTAAGCATGAGAACAAAAGCACCAGGGTTGCCCTTCTGTGCTGCACTCAGTTTCTCACTGTCTTTCCCTTTTCTCCACCCCCCCTCCACAACACACACCCCATGCCCCTGGATAAACTGCATTAGGCTGGCAGTCCGCATAGCACCTACTCCTTTTCCTGGCATGAAGTGTCAGTCATCTGTTTCCCATCTCTACCAGAGACCCTGCTGATCCCACACTCTTTCGGCACTGATGACAGCCTTGGCAACCAGAGTCCATCTTACTTCGATCTCCTTAGACCAGCATTAAGATGCTTTGCTCAGCAAGATGTCTTCCCTTGAACACAAGGAAGGGCCTTATTAGAGGCACAGGGGAAACGGAGAGTCTGCATGGCTCAGGGTGACACTAACCCATGTATTCACAGGCTCATGGAAGCCCTCCAGTCTAGGGCTTCTCAACGTATATTGGGTAACGGGCCCCTTTGAGCATCTTAAGGTTTTCAGGGGCAATATCCCAAAGGAAAAGATGCCGTCCTTTAGGGGAGCATTGCGGAAAGGGTCATCTTGCCCTCCCGTGTATGTAGTGAAAAAAGTGTATAAATCCTAGGCCTGGGCTAAAGCTTAGGGTTAGAGCACTTGCCTAGCTTGCAGGAAGCCCTGAGTTGAAACCCTGCTGCCTCATAATAATGACTCTGTTCACATTGACTTCCTTTTGTTTCTCTTATATCACAGATAGAGAATATTGATTTTAAAATTATATGTGTACCATTTCAGAATGACAATGGGGACGGCAGACGCTATAAGAGGGAAATGTTGGTTCTTAGATTCAGAACCACTTCTCTGGGGAGTCCATGGACCCCAGAAGGAAATCTGCTCTAGCCCATTCTCCTCCTTTTATGGTGAAAAAGACCAAGTCTGTTCTTTAGAGGTGCTTGCTGTGCACACTCTGGGAGAGTTGGTGGCAAAGCTAGACGTCCTCAGCAAACAGGCCGGAGCCTAGCCGGCCTCTTCCTACAGTGTTTGCTGCCTCCCTGACCACACTGTATCTTCATTCCTTCTGTCCCTAGCTGAGCATTCTACGCAGTCCATAAGTGGTTGGGAGAAAAGGGTGAAACCTACCCAAACGTTTGCCTCTCCTTTGTTAGTACGCCTAACAAGGATCTGAGAACTCCAGGGAAGGTTGTGTTCATAGCATTTGAAGTTTAATTCTCTGCCAGGTGACCATGCTCAGCTTTGCAGGGGTCACCTCGTCCTCAGAGGCATTGTCCTCCCACAAGTGAGCTTTTACCTCATCTTTGGCTCTCCAGGCTCTGGTCTCAACAGTCCTGCCTCCAAATGACATCTGACCCTACCTCGATACCTTCCCATCTGGGAAGGGCACTGTGTGCTGTGGTCTGACTCCGCTCTTCCATTGAATAAGCAGATGCCAGGCAGGTAAGGGTTCTTGTGAAGAATAGATCGAGGAAGGACTAGAACAACTAAGGGCTTGCAGACCCATCCTGGTTGTGTGAAAAAGGCATTTATCCCTCAGATATGAGGGAGAAGCAGCTGTGGTGGGGCCCTCCTGTGAAAGGACTTCCTTGATCTGAGACTTCCTTGATCTGAGTCACATCAAGGAGAAGTGCCTTAATTGCCCCTCAGACAGTCTGTGACCAGGAGCCTCTAGTGTCCTCTCTTGGCATCTACACTAGTTATTTGGTGGGAGAGAGAACCTCTCTTGTCTATACCTCAGCTTCCTCATCTTTTAAAGAAAAGCCAACCCCGTGGGTATAAAGTGTTTCTTTGCAGATGACAATGTCTGGGCTGTGCCAAGCCTTGTTCTTGGTGCAAAACGGAGTATGTTTTCCCCCTGAGACCTGGCTGATCACTAGCAAGAGTGAGCCTGCTCCTTAGGGCACAGTGTATCTGAAGGGAGGGAACCCCGAACTGAGTGTTGCTGGATGGAAGGAAGAAGCTAGTGTCTGTGGGGCGAGTGCGAGTGCAGATACCTCAGTGTGCCCGTCAGCACGGCAGCCCAGGGGTTCTCCCATCTTGCCCCATGGTCTCTGGGAACGGTCCTGCTCTCCCAGTTGCCCTAATCGTAGTAACAATGATGGATGTGGGTGCTGAGTTGCATACTCTACCTCTGGCCTCGCGCCCATAGCCTCACAGATCCTATCACATGTTCTGGCATCTCTGGACGATCCCAGTAGCAGCAATCAGGAAACAGACCTAGGAAGGCTGAGTCGTTTGCCCAAGTGCACTTGGGCAGGGGTCAAGTCCAGCTCAGGCCCTTGCTTGTCACCTTCCTACCCTCCATCCCTTGGCTGTGTCAGAAAGGAAACTAGACATTTGCCTGGCTTGTGTGAAGCTAGGATATGTTGGCGCTTTTTTTTTCACTATACTACAAACCACTGTAAAATATATTTAAAGAAACAGAGGAAAATGGAAGCCCTCTGTAGGTGTCCTAAGTTGGTGTAGACTTCCCAGAATTCCTGTCTGTACACACACTTTTCTCTCTCAGCTTCAGTGAACATATACCATACATGCCATATTTCATGTTTAACTGCTTTACATGAGTTAACACCACAGCTGTCAGTGTGTTCTCTTTAACGGCTACGTGGTGTACAGATGGACCTTCTTATGGCCATGGGCTGTTAGGGACTTCTTGGTCCCTCTGGCTTTATGCGTTTGTAAAGGTTTCTATCAGACACATTTCAGAAGTATGACTTCTGGGTCTCAAGGGATTATAACCAGTACCAAATGGGCTTCAGAAAGCACTTTGTCATGTGTAAGCTGCCTTCTCATGTCCTGCACCTGCTCTTCGGTGAACCCTGAGGCGAGCAGTGCTCAGTGTTCAAAGCTGGCCTATGCTGGCGTGCTATGCCCTGTGATCCCTGCAGGCACAGCGTCAGTTCTGCCTCTCCAGCTTCTAAGTGTCGTCTCAGGCCTGGTTAGCCTTGGACAACGCCTGTGTCCCTCATCTTGCAATAGCACCTCAGCCTCCTAAGTGCCAGGATTGCAGGGATGCTCCATGTGTTCAGCTCCCAAAAGCAGATGCTCTGAACCCCTGTTACCTGGCCATTACAGTGATTCACCTCTACATGGGATTATCAGGGGAGAGCCCTACCAGGCTGTTAGCTATCTGGGGCCCCTTAAGCAAGCATCTTTCCAAATCTAGTTTTCCTCCTCATAGAGTGCCCCTTCCTCTTCTAACACTGAGGTGACCAGGCCACCAAGGAAGAGGCGCATCATAAACAGAACGGTGATGGGCTTCAAGCGTCACCAAAACCCAGATACTTACAGATGCCCGGCTCACTGCAGGTGAGGGTCCCATCCTCAGGGACCATGTGGGAATTGTATCTCTGGCTGGGCAGCACCTCTGTCATCTCCCCTGCCCGCTGCCGTTCCCCCATCTTGGTCTTCAGGAAAATCCCAAAACCCACGTCTGATCCCTCCGACATAAACTGCCACCTGCAGAGGATATCCACCTGTGTGTGTGTCCATGGCAACTGGGTTTCTCCCACCCCAGCCCACCCGCTGGCACTGACAAAAGCTCAGGTCCCAGGAAGCACCCAGTCCTACCTGAGGACACAGCCGGGGAAAAGGATCTCGTACTCCACTTGGTGGGAGGAGCCTCGGGAAATCTGCACGTTGTGCTCATACTGCTGCTTCACTTGGTCTCGCACGTAATACTGCTTGGGGATGTCACCCCCGTAGTTGATCTGGAAGCAGAGCACGGGGTGAGCTGGGATGCACATCTGAGCCAAGATTCTCCCTGCTGGCTTCCAGCCGGTGGCCCATACCTTGGATTTGCACTTGGGATTTCCATCAGGGTCAGTCATAGTGCCTCCGTACTCCACAGGCAACTGGTCAGGGCTGATATGTTTGAGTAAAACCTCCTTCCAGTTTGCTGACAGGAGAGGGAAGGACAGAAAGGTGTCACTAGGCAGGATTTCATACCTGGTGGTCAGCCCTGAAAAGGCAGGAAAGGCCAGCCCTGCCCTGAAAGGAAGCATTAGAAGCTGGGCGCGGGCACTCAAGGGGCTGCAGGCAGGAGAACCATAGTTTGAGCCAGTGTTGGCTCTGTAGTGTGACCGTGTCTCAGGGACACTGTCTCTCTTCATGAGCACGTGACACATGCACAGTACCACTCGGAGTGAGGAAGAGCCATTACCCAGAAAAGAACCCTGCTTGGTCCAGGATTCAGAAGCCCCGGGCTGCTGTCATCATGCCGACGAAGCAGCTCAGCAGCCTTAGGGACCCACTTCACCCTGAGCTGCCTGCTGGGCAGAATTGTGAAGGCAGCGAAACGAATTAAGGACATGTGAGAAGACTTTGCAAGCTAGTATATTGCCATTCCCTGGAAAGGATACAAACATTAAAATGAGAGCCAGGTGGAAAAAGCAGAGGAAAGTATTCCATGCCGAGAAGCGTGTGGCAGGACCAGAGGTCTTGAATCCATGGGTTCTGACCCAGTGTCACTGAACTCCCGCCTTCTCCCACACTCCATTGGGCTGAGTCATGCCCCACCAAACGAGCACCTCGCTGTAGAGTGACCCCCTTAAATGGGCTTACTTTATCTCAGCCCACATCACTTCTGTCCTGCTTGTTTGGGGCTGCTTGGCTGCTTTTTGTTGTCTCTCTAGCCAAATCCTCTCCTGATGGGAGCAATTAACTCTCAAGTGTCTGGCGCTGAGAACCGTTTCTCCAAGAAGTGCCAGCCTGCCACAATGCTTTAACAGTGGAAACCACTCTGACCATGTCAACCATCGGCTCACGACAAGCCAGCAGCTGCAGGCCAGGGACTAGCCTAGTACCCTCAATGCTGATGCAGATACAGACCTGACTGGAACCCTGACCGTCCTGTGTCCACCAACCCTCAGGTGTCTGTGGCCTCGGGGTGATTTCACTGGTACTGCTACACTCCAGTGACCAGCCTGGAACAACTTTTATCCCTCCTCTGTTTGGAGATCTTGTTTCTTCCCAATCCGCCCAAGGCACATTTGGTTGAAAGAATTTTAAGTGTGGGTGGGAGAACAGACCGAACCTCCTACATAGCCCTGCTGCCGGGGAACCAAACCGCTTCACCCACTTGGTGGGCGGTAGCAGCGGAAAAATCAGAAACCATAAAAACCTATGACTCTCAGCTGAGCTGGAGAGCTGGGATAAAACCAGGAGAGGCCTTTCCTTCTCAAGGAAGCATCGGCCACAGCCAAAGCTAGGACTTCACTGAAGAAGTCCTGACATCCTTTTGTTTGAAATAGGGTCTAACTGTGTAACCCACTGGAATTCACTAGGTAGTTTAAACCTTCTGCCTCTCTAGTCCTGGGATACCTTAAATACATCTTTGTCCTTTTAAAATCCTTATTGCTGTAATATGTATGCGCGACGTTATGTGTGTGTCGGGGATGGGGTATGTGTGGAAGTCAAGTTGGGAGTTGTTTCTCTCCTTCCCATGTGGGATCTGGGATAACAAGCATGTTTACCTGTGGAATGAGCCCAGCCTACACTGTTGTTTTGAGACAGGGTCTCACTTTGTAACCTGGGTTGGCCTTGAACTTAGAATGTAGCCCGGACCAGCCTGGGACTGGAGCTCTTCAACCTCCAAAGCACTGGGATTCTAGACATTTCACCCTCCCGGTCAGAAGTTGCCACACTTGGTCCTAGCCCAAAGGTCAAGAAGGGATCCAGAATGGCCCTTGCAGTGTCATTTAAAGGCAGCCCTGCACACACCTTGAGAAGCAGTTACTGCTGCCAGCTCAGCTCCAGAGCCTGGCCCAGTCCACCCTCACAGCCAGCCATCAGTCACCCCCTGTCGCCAGTGCGTCCTGGCTGCTTTGGGGGGTCACACATTCCCTTATGTCCCGGCATCCTCCCACTCCTCTGTAATCCAATCCCTGCTTCTCGGCCGGTGCCACTAACGACTTCCCACTGTCCCCAGTGGGCTGCCTTTACTTGAATACTCCCCCAAGCTCACTGCAGACTCCTGGATCCTCGCCGCCCATAGGCCCTGCCTAGTCGGCCTCGGTGTGCCCGCACTTGTTCCACAGGTTGTCCACGCTGGTTGAAATGGCCTATCATCCCCTACTCATGATTTTAACCTCCTTTAGCCTCCTCCGTGCAGCCAGTTGAATTTTGCTGTTTTGCTTCCTGGGTAAGTTCCTGGGTCCAGCCCTTCCTCCTTTTCCCTGAAGCCACTGCCTCAGTTTACACCATCTCTTGCATGGGCAGCAGCATGGCATGTAAGCTGGTATCTGGCCTTTATGGCCTTGCTGGTAGGCATGGGTCAGGTGAACATCTGACCGTGGGGCTCCCCGCTAAATACTTCTCTGGTTCCCAGTGGCCCGAAGAGTCAGGCCCCAGCCTCTCAACATGGTGTCCTGGTTTCTGTGCGGCCTGGATCCCGGCTCATGTACTCCATGATAAGAGAGGCCTTACTCAGTGTCCCTCTCTCTGCTTTCTTCCGCGTGGCCAGCTTGCTCATGTCTGCTCCCACCTCAGCTCTAACGGGACGAGTGTTGCTGCTTGCTGTGGCTGCACACAGTTTCCCCCTTTCTTCCGTGTGGCACCCATCATGCTGATAAGCGCGTTTGTATCTCCCTTCCCTGAGAGCTAGCTAGCTCTGGCAGAGAAAAGGTATCTGTGGGAGTGGATACCTCCACTCCTACTTGCCCCAAAATGACCTCCACAGCACCCTCAAGCTGCTCTCTCTAGTGCCCTCTGGCTCATTCTCTAGCCTTTTCTCTGCAGTCATCACTCCCCTGTAATTCTGTGAGCTCCTTAAGGATAAGCACTGGAATTCCATTCATCTTTGACCGTGCATGGTGAGCTCAGTGCTTGCTTCTAGAGTATGTGGGAAAAAGCGTCCTTGTGAAAACACAGGAAGGCAGATCTGTCCCCACTTGCTGCTGCGTCCCAACTACTCCAAAAGCAGCAGACAGGCCTTTACCCCAGAGGCTGTGGCCATCCCTCTAAAACTACACACCAATCTGTAGGGTTTGGGCCACTTACCTCCCAGGACCATAATCTTCCTACGAGTGTCCTCACTCAGAAAGGGCTTGATGAGGTTATAGGCCACGGGAAACAGCTTGGGGGCTGGAAGAGAGACCAGAGAACATGAAGCAGAAAGCAAGGGTAACAGTTGCTGACAGCATCACCTCCCACCCACCTCTGCATGGGGGTGGGGGCCGGGGGCAAAGCCTGAGGCTCAGCCAGGCATGTCGGAAGTCTGGCTCCCAGTCTGTACAAGGGTTGTGGCCAAACGGTCTCCTCCTGTGGCATCACCAACCTGAATGCTACTGAGCCAGGTGGCTCAAATGCTCTGGGAACTCTAAAGCATCTGTATAGGTCAAAGGTTAAGGTCAGGCTTTTGAGCCTGAACAGGTCCTTGGGCCTCTCCTTCGACTCACTCAGTCTGCCCCAAGTAATGGTTTCAGCCTCTTGTTCCCTTTTGGCTTCATGTCCAGAAATTCCCAACTTACCTTTAACAACAAACAGACGCTTCAATGTTTCAGGATAATTTTCTTCAAACATGGAGAGAAACTGTGGAAGCAAAATTGGTCGAGTTTCAGTGGCTCAGGCCTCCAGGACACAGTGCCCTCCATCCCGAGTCAGCCAGAATGAGAAGTCCCTCCAGCCTCTCACCTCTCCATAAGCCTCCACTGCAGGTTTCCAGAGGTGCCTGAGGCCGAGTCCCTCACAGTCATAAATCATGGTGATGGTCTCTATCTTCTTCCCTAGCTACAAGGAGCAGACAGACAGAGGAAGTCCTATTACTCTGCCCAGCTGTAGAGCTCACCCAGTTCAAGGCCAATGCTGATCAAACAGGTGCAAACAGAGCAAGCAGCCAGCCGAGAAGGAGGGGGGCTGAGCCCAGGGCTTTTCAGATGCAGAAGTCACCTAGACAAACTGTTCTCATCTAGCAAATGACAGGGTGGATCGAGATTGAGATCCTATCAGAGGTCCCCTCTGTCCTGCAGATTCTCCCGGTGACCTTTGTCTTCCTGTCAATTACTGTGTGTTCCCTGGGCAGCACCCATGTAGCACCTGGGCCTCAACCACTTCTCACTCAGGGTCAGATTCTCCCATCCTATCTTAAGCTCTAAGGAAGCATCAGGTTGAATCCCCTCTGTGTCCCCAGGCTTTAGGGATTCTGTACCGAGTGGACTCTTTATGAGCATCTGCAAATAACAGCGCTGAGAGATCTCCATATGGGGTGCTGGTGTGCGTGTGCGCGTGCGCGTGCCACAGTGCAAGTGTGCATGCCACAGGGTGAGTGTGCAGCTCAGAGGACAACCTGGGAAAGTTGGTTCTTCTCCATTATGTAGGTTCTCAGGCTTGCTGGCAAGTCCATCTACCTGCTGGACTATCTCTCCAGCCCCTCAGTCTTTTTCTTAGTAAGGGAATGGTCACCCTGATCTCTTGAAAATCCACTTGGAGGAGCAGGGATTCTGGGTTTGTCTACACCAGGAGTACCCTCTCCCCAAATACTTGCCTAGGGAAAATTTAGTCCAAAATAAGATCTCACTGGCCCTCACAGAAACAAGAGTTTTCCAACAATATGGTTTTCTTCGTCTTTCTGGGTTTTTGTTGTACTCGGCCCTTTCCTGTGCTGGGCGAGCTGCCTGTTACTGAGCGACATCATCAGCTGTAATGATTTATAGTTTTGTTTGTGTGTAGTTTTTGTGTGTGTATATATCCCGTTTAGCCCAGGATAGCTTCAAACTCAAGACCCCCCTGCCTCAGACTTGTGAACTGTGAGAGTACAGGTGTGTAACACTCAGCTCATTGCAATGTACTGTTTTCTGCTATGGTGGGTGGAAACCCTGTACCAACAGAGTATAAGCACTGTACCAACAGAGCTCCGGCCCTCGCCCTAGTGAAGCTTTTATCAAGGCAAATGTCCTCAAGTGTAAATGACTGCCTTTCATTCTAAGACCTTCCCTACATAACATTCCTACAGTTTGGGAGATTCATCATAGCAATTATAGATGGCTATTTGAAGTTTTTACTTAGCAAAATGAAAGTGTGACAAGACAGAGGTATAGTTTAAGGTTGGAGTAGAACACTTGCCTAACATGCATAAGGCCCTGGGTTCAACCTCCAGTCAGAGGGAACATGAGAAGAAAGATGATTGATGACATTAAGTTCATCTAAAACCTTGAGATTCCGGGTCTATGGAACCCAACTCCTGAGGCCACACTTCCATCCCTGTGTGACATTACTGCTTCTCCTTGAATGCCTCCACAGTGGTGAAATCCCCCTCACTGGCAGACAGGCCACCCACCTTTGTGGTCTGGTTGGTACACTCCTGCAGAAGCAGCTCACAGTCTCTCATCTTGGTCCTGAGCAGGTCCTGCTTGGAGGCAGAAAATAGCAGACCCTTGGCGTCCAGAGGTCCGATGATGTCGTACCAGATGGGGCAGCCATCCAGGTCGTAGCCACACCTGCCACCTGACAGATACTGTTGGATCACCTGGCCAAAGACATAGGAAAAGCGCCCGGTGGGCAGGCCCAAGACAGCCATGTTTTCCCTGGGTTCGTGAGTCTTTCTCTCCACGTCCCTCCCCTGGGTGCCAAAAGATAACTATTTTGGAACTACAGTGACTCCTTTGGCATTTTCAGGCCTGTCCCCTGAGGCTCCCAGTCCAGTAGACCAGGACACAGACTATGAGTCTAATAAGCATGGGATGGAGTGAGATAATTTGTCCTCACCTCTGGTGGCTGCCAGCTGATGATGTTGTCAATGTCCTTTTGCTTCCGGAATTCCACATGCTGCAAATACACAAAGAAGCACAGGGTGGGAGGAGAGGTGTGTGGTGGGGTGCGGTTTTGAATAGGAAGGAACTGGACGGGAATAGAAAAGGAGGCCCCACGTTTTTTCAGATATCTCAGCAAGAATATCACTCTTGGCTAGTCCAGAAGTAGGAAACCCCAATGTTTTCAGGGAAGGAAATGCACTTTGTCCCTCAGGGATAAAGCAACGGTTGTTGGCTAATAGCTGTGTCACACAAACCAAAAACCTGTGACAGGAGTGGGTGATGGGTAAACAGGAGCAGTGCAGGCAAGACGTGAGGCTGGTGGGAGGAACTGTGGTGGCAGACACTCACCTTCCGGAGCATGGCCTCTGACTTCTGCAGGTCAAAGCTTCGGGCTGTAAGAAAAGCATGAGCAAGGTTGGGCATCAGATTGCCCACCTAAGGACCCGTTCCCAGGCTGGGGCCAAGTCCCCTTGTGCATTCCCCAGCCAAACTGTCAGATTTGGCTCTCGGCCCTCACTGAGGACTTGAAAAGCACCACAGCCCTGAGTCTGTGGAATAGACAGGTCAAGGCCAAGGCAGTTGGGAGCGGGCAGCACTGCAGCCTTGGGGTCAGAGTATCCTGGCAGCTAGTAAGGTAAAGGGTCTTATCTCAGAGAAAGTGAACCCTGGATCCCTTTATCAATCGGCCATCCCACGAAAAGACAGAATTTATCTCCCCTACAATATAACACCAAGTGCTGAGGAATTGACCCACAGTTCAAAGATGAACACAGCTACCCCAGAATCTGCCGTAGAGCTGGCTGAACATCATGCAAAGGGAGAGAAGTTAATGCACCTCCGGGTAATCCTGGCGTTTCTCCAAGTGTCCTCCTCATGGGAATGTGACGAGCACCAGGGACACTTGACTCAGTTCACCTGAACCCACCCCAACAAGTCCTGCTCAAGGACTTGGTTCAAGTCCTGAACCAAGATTCCGATGTCCCGAGGCCACTCCCAGGTAACCAGAGCCATCTGCACTAGTTTGTTGTAGGCTGCAGTCTACTCCAGAGACGGCCCAGGAACAGCATTGTTTCTCCCATCATGCAACAGCCCTCTGAAAATATGAACTCTGTGGTGCCCTCCAGGACCTGCCCTCCCACTGTGCGGCCTGTCTGCCGAGCCTTCAGTTCCCAACGCTCAGCTTCATGACTTCCCTCTGGATGCCGTCCCCCTGGTCGGGGGGCCCTTCCAGGCGAATGTCACAAGCTGAGCCCAGGTGGTGTTTGCTCCTTCTCCAGTAAACCCTAAGAATTCCCTTGGCAACAATCGTGCCTTTAGTTCAGTCAGAGCTTAGAGTCAACTGAAACCCCAAATCCTTTCCACCTGTGCTCTGGCTAAGCCTCCAGTCCTGCAGAAAGGCAGGACTTCTTCAATGCATCCCTCTCACATTTCATCGCCAGAGTCTACTTCATTCCGTCATTGTCATTTAAAGAGTTACTGAGACTTTTCCGTTTGGCCTCTGTTCTTGAATCGTCCCTCCTGGCTGTACATTCTCCATGGACTTAATTGACATCTAGATCTGCTGATAGCCTGGAACCGGGACAGGCTGCCCTTTGGGCTGTCAACAGACTCTTCACCACTGCTCTCTGGGAGAAGGGGTGCATACTCTCTGACTTTGCATTCTTGAAGTCCAATCCTCTATGTTAGTCAGGATGGTATGTCTAAAGGTCTGACCAAGCCCGGGTGTGGTGCCTTGGTAGGCTGAGGCAGCAGGGTCTCAAGTTTGAAGTCAGCCAGGACTACATAGGAACTTCAGGCTAACTCGGGCTGCATATTGAAACACTATCTTAAAAATAAATGAAAAAGGGCCAATAAGATGGTTCAATAGATAGAGAAGCATACTGTTCAAACCCAGCAAGCTGACAACTTGAGTTTGCTCCCCAGAACCCATATAAAGGGACATAACTCCACAAAGTCATCCTCTCACCTCCCCACCCCCAAACTCTCTCTCACTGTCCTTCCCCCATCCCCTCTCCCTTCCCCCCCACTACACATCTTAAAATACCTTTCACAAACAAGAGACAGGCACACTCTGGGGAGGCAGAGGTAAGTGGATGTTTATGAGTTTGAGGCCAGCCTGGTCTACAAAGTGAGTCCAGGACTGTCAAGGCTACACAGAGAAACCCTGTCTCGAAAAAAGAAAACAAAAAAAACCCCCAAGAAACCAAAAACAATAACAATGAGAACAAGAGAGAGAGAGAGAGAGAGAGAGAGAGAAAGGATTGGCTAGGCCGCTGCCTCCATGTGTGCCAGATCCTTTCTGGCAGATCTGAGCTGCCAGCCGGGTGAATTGGGCTTAGGAATTTCCTCGCTACCATCCTTCTTGTGCCACCAGCAGCCCTGGGCAGCGTTCAGAATGAACTAATGAGGGTCTGCGCCTCAGCTCATCCACCTTCCGTGTTTTAACCTGGACTACACACTACCTCTGACCACTTAAGGTAGAACTGCATCTTCTTCTGTAACAGAGGAGGTAGACCGTGGACATGAGTTTCTCACAAAGGACACCCCTCTGGAGAGGGAAGTCCCAGAGAACAGGGATCCAGTAGTAGCAAACTGTAAGCACCCTTATCTGGAAGGACTTCTCCAGCCCATCCTTATCCGCCAAGGGCCAACATTCAGGGGCTTCCTCACCATGTCTGTTGAGTCAGGTCTTTCTAGCCTCCTGCTACCCTGCTCAGAAGCCACTGAAATCTTAGCATGCAGCACTGAACAACAGCCTGGCCCAGGAGCAGCCTGACTGGGCTCTGGTTTGCCCATACCCTGGCCCCATAAGCTGCAGACACTCAGCTATGCTGTGCTCTCTCACAGGGTCCCTACCACCTCCGTTCTGTCCTGTTCGCTGACCTTCCTCACTGGGGTACCCAGATCTCACTTCCAGCCAGAGAGGCCATGGAAACTCAGGTGCCTGTGGCGAGGACCAGCAGAAAACCGAACCCCAAGCTCACACCACATTCTACTGCAAACATCTCCTTTAGACTCAAAAGGCAACAAAACACCAATTCAAATTCGGGATAGGGTCTGAGTAGGCCAGAGCTCCTGCCCAGATAATATGAGGCACGAATGAACTACAGAGGGGACACTTCCTTCGATCTAAGATGCAGAGTCTGGAACCAGGGGTGCAACCCCATGGTAAAATGCTTGCCTATCATGCCCCAGACCCTGGGGTCGATTCTCAGCAGCTCAAAAACGATTCTGGAGCAATGCTTGGCTTCAGGAGCAAGCAGCTCTCTGGGAAGGAGCTGTGTCTTCCTGGAAAGGTGCTGTCTGGGAATGCAGACCCCTAGGCTCTGCTGTGATTGTGATTGTTTTGTGCCTTCAGGTTAAGTTTCTTGCCCTCTTTCCTCATCTGGAAAATGTAAGTGACCATGCTATGAGAGTGTGGCTGGTCCCAGATGTGGGCCCTAGCTTAACTATCAGGCCTTATACAAATGGTTTATCCCATCCCAGGACTCTGAAAGTAAATGGTTATTGTCTAGGAAACCATCTGCCAAGACCTCACACTGGCCTGAGCTACAGAGCTGTTCAATTGCTCTCTCTCTCTCACACACACTTCTCTTCCTCCTAGCAGCAGCTCCATAGCTGGTTGGATCATCCTGCTGCTGGCCCTTTAATGAGGCTACCATCTATCTTCCCCCCCCCCTCCACCCACCTACTTCTAGCTGTAGCCTTCCAGCAAATGCCAGGCCAAAATTTCTGCCAACATAGAGTGACTTCATTGCCACCCCCACACCAACCCTCCACCCCCTGGGAAAGGGGCCGTATCATATAGGAGGCTGAGGTGAGGATGGGCAGTAACACTTCCATAAGCCTATGAGCCCCACATGGCTCTCCTGGGTGCACCTGTCCTGGGGCGTTGCTAGCAGATCTTCAAGAATTATGACAGCTTTATTAAATTTCTCAAAAGAAAAATTGCATCTTTTTAATCTATTGCAAGTGCAAGTCTTCCTGGGCTCAGAATGTGAATGTGCCACCTGGGTCTTGTAGTCAACATTTACAACAGAACTCTATGTAACAACTGGAGCTCTGCTAGTCAAACTCTGCAGACTTTTTTCATTTTTATGTCTGGTAATAAAGTTTCTATAAATAAAAATTAAAGCATGTCGGAAGAGCCCAGAAGAGTGGTACAAGCCTTGAATAACAGGACAGGAAAAGGAAGAGGACAAAAAGGTACAAGGAATGGGGTTTTTCCTGATCCTGGCAGTAGTAGCAACATGTTCCCATCATCCCACGGGTAGTCCTTGTCATGCCACATCTTGCAAAAAAGCTAGGCACCCTGCCTAATCCACTTCTTGGAGAAGCCTAGAAATCTGTGACCTTAGCCCAGACGGTACATGGCTAGAACTAGAACTCAAGACCCTAGCTGTGGAGGGGGAAAAGGTACCCTCCTCAGTCCCCCAACACAGTGCCTTTCACTCAAGCTGACACGACCAGGACTCTGGTTCTAATCTCACTCTCCTCCAACTTTACACATAGTAGGGTCCTTCTGGGGCTTGATTTTCCTTCATCGTCTGCAGAGCAGACTTACAGAGTAGATGAAAAGGGTGCCAACAGTCCAGTCTTTTTTCTGTCTGCAGCTCACCCATCAAATCCCTTCAGCTCTCTGATCTTCCATGTCTGTATCCTGTAGAAGGGCTTGGGGTGGAGGGGAGGGTGCCAGCCACCTTTTTGTCTCAGCTTGCCAGGGTTTCCAGAGGACATCGTTCTGTTGTCCAGAACACACCCCTGTCCCAGCTCCTGTCCCCTCACCTCGGAGCCATCGAAGGAGAAAGTAGTCATCTGGATTGGGCAGGGTGGGCAGCACGTCCTGGACATTTTCTCGAAACTATAGAGAGAGACAGCTGGATGAGTGGGAGGTCCCTGGCCTCACTCTGCTCAGAGTGCCCCTCTATTGGGGGTGCTTACCAGAGCCAGCATTTACACATTGTTATAGATGCTGGCTGAGTGAAGTCATGGGCTGTGTTGCTAGGGATGCTGGGTAGGAGAGGAGAGCACAGAAAGGGAAGAGGACACTGGCCTGGCTCACTTATGAGCCATACTGATGTGGTGGGCGAGTAGGTGTGTTCCCAGCGAGCAGTGATAGATAGCAGGCACCCTGGCCATGCCACAGTGAACGCTGTCTGTGTGCCAGCACCTGTCATGTGCACAGCACTGATTTTTGGCACTGTGTCTTACAGTGCCCCTAGAGCCCCAAGAGCTAGTGCTGTCCCCATTTTACAGACAAAACGAGGAAAACACAGAGGCTCAGCAACACCTCCAACAGCTGGGATACAGATCCGAGTCCAGACCCCAGGCTCTTTCCTCTGTAGTCTTACTGCTGCCTGGGGAATGGAATGGGAGCAGAGGGAAGGAAGAGGGAAGTCTCAAACGACTTCGTTCAAAAGTTGTAGTTGGGCTGAATGTGAAAGACTGCATCTGGGAGGGGACAGCTCCAGCGGGTAGCCACAAAAGGGAAAAGCACCAAGAGAGCCAATTGAGGTGGGCAGTAACCCCAGCGGACAGCCACCTAACGGCAATCCCTCAGTTCCCAGTACTGAGCAGGGGCCCTGCTGCCCTCCCCAAACCTCCGGCCCCAGCAGTGACCTTTATCAGGTTACTGACCTGTAGGACACCCTCAGAGGGGGCCAATGAGCACTGGCCACCTCTGCCCTTTGCCTTAGGTCAGCTAGGTCTAGTCAGAACCTCCCCTCCCCCCTCCCCTCAAGGCAGCTAAACAGCAAGCGAAAGACCACCCTTTACCAAGGACCTAACTTAGCCCCTGGGCTGATCACCACCAAACCCATGTTTGGCAGTAAACTTGGCATGGGGAAAAAAGCCACGCACAGCAGTCACATTTGCTGCCACACTCCAGAACTGCACGGCTGTAGGGCCTCTGAACATCGAGGCTGGACCCTATCAGTTCTGAGCACGTGCCATTGAGAAGATAAAAGTCTTTCAGGCAGAGGGTCCAGCCTCTAAACTTAAATGGAGTAAATAGCTCACTGTGTGCCCAAGGTGCCAAGGCAAAGCCTGGCCATGTCCTTTCCTTTTGAGTGGCATCACTAAGTCCCTGAGTGGCCAGAGAGGGGAGGGCTCTTCTCTCCAAAAGGAACCCAACCTAGTCAGTTGGGGCATCTTAGACTTCACACACAGAGATGCCCCGCGGCCAACCTCCTCTAATTTCATAAAGAGCACACAGGACAGGGCTTGGCCCAAGGTCGCACAGTGACTCGGTGCCGCGCAAGGACTATGGGGAGTCTGCCAAGGAGCTGTCCGGGACCCATCCACACGCCGCTGGCTGCCCCCGCAAGAGGAAGACCTCCCGGAAATGGAAGGAAGCCTGGGGCCCTGCCCCTGTCCCACAGCTCCGCTGCCAGTCCCTGGCAGCCGCGAGGATGAATGTTGCCTTTGTGCCCTCAGCAGCCTCCGAGGGCTTCCAAGCAACCACCGCTCCCCAGGCGGCACCTCCAGGGCTGCTCGTGCTGGGGATCTCGATGACCAAACTTCCCGAGGTCCTCAGACTGAGCGAGAAGCCGTCCCTGCGCACCAGCCAAGCGGGGGCGACCGGTCACCAGCCCGCAGGGACCGTTCCTCCCAGCCGCCAGGGGCGAGGGCCACAGCCGGGCCAGTAGCAGGCTCACCTTGGCCAACGCCTCCTCCTGTTTGGGGCTCAGGTCACCGACTCTGCCGCTCATCGTGGCTCAGCCTCGGGGCGCGGCACCGGCGGCTGCTGATGAAGCTCCGACTCTTTTGCTGCTGCGGCAGCCGCTGGAGTTAAGTCCCAGTCTTTGGCCGCGGGCTCCTGGGTTGGCAGCCAAGACCCGCCTCTTAAAGGAGCCCAAGGGGCGGGGCGAGACGCGCAGAGGCCCTGGAGCCGAGCCAGAATGTCCACTCAGACACCTGAGCTACCTGGGCCAGGCTCCTCATCCTAAAGAGGCTGGAAAGCGCTGACTAATGACCTCTTCTAAGCTGCGACTCCACAGAGCCAACCAGGCTGTTCCTTCACCACTTTCCTTGCCCCCAAACGCTGGCAGCTCTCCTGGTACCCACCGAGAAGGGATGCACCCTTAAACGTCTTTCTGCCCTTAAGCCCTGTGTTGTTGACTTATGATCACTCCTACCAGCCCAGCCTGCAGGTCGTTCAGAGCTGACACCCAGGGTTGCCGATGTAACTCAGATGGTGGTAGAGGGCTTGCCTAGCATGCGCAACCTTGAGTTAGATCCCCAACACTGCACCGTCACGGCGGCGCATTCCTGCTCAGGCCCGTAATTCCAACACTGGGGAAGTGGAGACTGGAGAACCAGAAGTTCAAGACGACCTATAGTTACTTCTTGATTTTGAGGGGAACTTGGAATACAAACAAACCAAACAGCGTCCACAGCCTTTTCCCCTCTACCTGTAGAACAGGCCTGGTGACTCACATGGCATTTGGCTGAGGGGACGGGAAGAGCCTCCCCACCTAAGATCCAGTTCTCTGCCTCTGACCTTCCCAGCTCTCTGGGTGCTACTCCCAGCGCTCTCGTGTCTCAGCTGTCATGCACGGCTTCCACTCTGGAAATCAGGAGCCCGTGTTCCACAACTTCCTACAAGTCCCTTTGCTGCACTGTGCTGTTGCTCCTTCACTAACTGGGGGTGACAGCACAGTGCCTATAAGTCAGCAGACTAAAGGGGGTTAACGTCTCTAACTCCCAGGCTCGACTTCTTGTGGCCACTTCCTAGCCAGCCATGCACAGTTGTCCTTTGCTGGCCGCCTGGCCAGATCTTAGCCATAGGTTAGACAGAGAGGAAACCACAGTGGAAGGGCCCACAGCAGCCCTACTGTGGCTCTTCTGCTTCCTATCTCTAGCCAAGGGCCTGTGGGCTCCCCACTAGTGACAAGTCTGACTATTGGGTGGTTCTGCCAGCTGCAGCCTAGCGGCTTCTTGTCCAGCCTATCCCACCAGACTGACCCCTCTCCCCAGTTACTGCTTCTACATCACACAATAGAGTTCAACAGCCTTCTCCTGCCAACTGATCTCGTTTCCACGGTAGCACCTGGACACAGGGTCTGGGCAAGGGCCACTTTTTCTTTCTACTGTGTGCCAAGCAGTGAGCATTGTTCTGGACCCCAGAGATGTTCAGACACCACCCTTTGGTCCCAAACATACTAAAGAACACACAAGAGCAAGGCAGACGGCCAAGAAGAGGAATCAAACAGTAGGAGCTTAGAAAGGACAATGCTTGCTTTGGATGAGGAGACCCTAGAAGGCTCCATGGAGAAAGCAGAAAGCAGAAGAGAGACTACTCGGCATACACCAGCAGAGTAGCCTGAGCTGAGTTCTGGTGGTAGGTGCAAAGCGTGGCTACAACCAGGGATGCAAGTAGTAGGAGGGCGGGGGTGGGGTGGGGGAGGTGCTTAAAACCTTGGTGTACCTTGCTTAGTAACATCTACCTCCTAGGCCATGAGGCCCTCAGGACCTTGCTTCAATTACCAGAGCCCCCACAAGCCCTGCATCCCCCGGCACAGGCTCCTGTAGACACAGACGGAGCACAGTGGCCCATATATGTAATACAACACTCAGGGCTGAGGCAGGAAGGCCTGGACTCAAACAAATAAGAATTAGAGGGGAAGAGTGGGGCAGAAGGAGAGGAACAGACTGGGGTGGAGTGGGGTGAGGCTTCAAGCCAAAGCTCAGTGCTGAGCATGGTCTGGAGGAAAGGTAAAGTAAACACCATCACGGAGTTCATGTGCTCTCACTTAACAGTGGGGGAAACCGAGGCTCAAAGAGGCTATGCCTGACCAAAGGTATCAGTAGCACCGCAGGTGTAGAGAGCTCAGTGACTGGTCCATGGAAAGCTTTCAACTGGCCCCTCCGCTGCTGCCAATCCAAGTCTCTAGGAGTATGGGAAGCAGAAAGGCCCCCGTGTCTCCTCACCCAGAGTCGAGGCAGGTGGTAAGAGACCTGTCCTTGGCACACAAAAGGACTCTGCTGTGCCCCTCATGTGCCCTCCTCCTAAGAGACCTGGTGAGGGGTGGGCTGAGGAGAAGCCTGAGGCTGGCAGGGGCCCCAGCCTGACCTCAGCAGAGTTTCCAGGCAATGAGGGCATCTCTGCCCTAGTTATAGCCTCTTGGCTTCTGGCTGAGCGCAGGGCAGAGCTGCCTTCCTTGCTGGATGTGAGGCCTTCGATAGTTTAAGAGCCTCCCAGGGACAGCGTACTCTTTACCGGGTAGAGCCTACTAAAAGAAAGTAGGCTCTTTCTGGTGGTGCAGCCCCTTACAGTTTATAATGCCCTCACAGATGGTGTCTCTTAAAAGGGCCGGCCAGTCCTCTAAAGCCACAAGTCACCTGATGTTTAGAGGAACCTGAGAAGAGGGGTTGGTACAGAAGAGCACCTGCAGTCAAGAAGAACCTGGCTGCGGGGGCCGCTCAGAAAACCACAAGTGACGTGTTTATCCCAGAGGACATCATCCCTGAAGTCTCTCCCCAAACCCAAAATCTGTAGATACCCAAGAAAAAAGTCTAAGCAAAGAATTCTCCCTCTTGTCTGTCCTTTTCCAGTTCTCTGGCTGCTCGCCGCTTCCACCGAGATTCGTTCATCACATCCAATCTCTTCCCAGGAAGCCAGTGGTTAATCTGATAATATAAATCCTAGATAAATAGCGCAGCAAACTCCTCGGAGCTGGTTACAGAGACTCCTTCCTTCCTGCCCTTGCCTTGTCTTTCCTTCCCACCCCCTGCCCTACAATTCTCCCCCCTTGCAAAGGCATATTGCCTCCCTCAGCTTAAGAACCATCACTGGCTCCCCAGATCCTCCAGAAGTCACCCCAATCCCATTGACTTGCTTCAAGGCCTACTTGATCTCTTCCCAGCATCCCCTGTGCCTCAACTACCAAAGTACCCCTTTTCATACACTTTCTTATGGGTCAGAGACGTTTCCTGCTGATCCCTATATATACGGCCATCCTCCTGCCTCTGTCAGGGTTATTCTATTTCTTCCAGCCAGCTCCTCCTAGGCCCTCAAAGCCCTGACCCAAAGCTGTTTCCAAAAACTTCTTTCTTATCTGCCCATTGAAATGTCACCTCTGGCAACCAGAAGCCCTTTTCTCCTGACCTTAACAAGGACTCTTCTGTATTGTGAGTGTCACCTGACCTCCAGGGTCAGGCAGCCTTGAAGGTAAGCTTCGGGAACATGAGTGTGCATAGCTCTGAGTGCACCTTGCTGGGAACTGAGGCAGAGGAAGTGTAGATAAGCAAGAGGAGCTCAGGAGCTTTAATTTGGGGAGTTAGGGCATTGAAACTTAAATTCTTCTAGGGAACAGCTCTGGGCTCAGGAAGAGCTCTGGACTGGGAGTGTCAGCCTCACTCTGTGTCCCAGAAATAATGGTTATAGGGGATATTCAGCACCGACATGCATGGGAATGGGAGTTAGAATAGCAGCACTCTGTTCCCTAAGAGGCTGTTTGTGGCTGCAGAGCCTCCTCATCAAATGGAGAACAACATTGGCTTCAGGATGAAAGTCCCTCCCCTGGTACCCTGACCTCAGATCTCCCTGATACCCATGCCAGGCAAAGTGGTGCAAAGATTGGCATAGTGATTTGTGAGTCAGAAACATAGTCCAGTCTTTTAAACCCTTCAACAAATATTTGCGGAACACTCTACTTTTACAGCCCCAGGGCCATAGGAACTTTCTATAAAGTCCTTGAACTCAAAGGGCAGCCCAATAGGAAGGTTCCCTCCTTATAACCCTGCCCGGTGGGGCAGTAGCTGCCTCAGGTTAGCTCTCTACTCTGAGTGCCAATAGCCTAGAGTGAAAACTAATCCTTGCCTCTCTCCCTGGGGCCACTGTGATAATTCCAAGTGACATAGTGGCTGGGAAAGCGGTGAAAGATGATTATTGTTGTTGTTATCATGGGTTATTTGTGAAGGCACATGAGAAAGTGAAAACCCAAGTCTATCCTTCTCCACCCCTGGGGCCCCACTTCCTCCTCACTTCCGCAGTCCACCCTGGCTTTGTCAAGAGACACAAATCCTCTCCCAGCCCCACTTCTCATACCCCCTGATTAAATCCTTTACCTTCCTGGGTATCACTGTCTAATCCCTAAGTCCTTTCTCACCAGTCTCCAGTCATCTCGGAAAATCAAATCCCTTTCTAATGAGGTGCCCCAGTTAGCTGCCGAGGGAGAAGCTGGAGCAGGGAGCTGGAACCTCTGAACTACCTCAGAGGAGACTGAAGGACAGGAAGGGTCCAAAAGGTCTTACTTCAGTCTGCCACTAGCTAGCAAGAGGCTGAGGACTTCCCTGAGGGAAGGTGAGCCAAAACTTCTGCTCCTACCCTGCATTCAAGATGGAGGCCAGATCTCACCATCAGGTTTGCTCACGTCTCACTGGGGAGTAGAGAAACACAATGGTAGCCCACCAACTCTGGAGCCAGCCCACCCGGTTCTGTTACCTAGCAAGTTTCACTGTCTCCATTCTTAGCTTCCTATTGAGAAAATGGCATGATCTCACTATTTCACCAGCTGGGCTGAAGTTAAGTGAACTAGTTTATGAAAACTAGAACCTAGAGAATGAAGGAGCTTTTGTCCACTTGCACTTCCTGTTTCCTGCCCCAGACAATCTGTAGGTGTCCACCTACACACCATTTGGGAGTGGCTTTCCTGTTCCTACCTCAAGACTAAAGTGGCCCCTGACCTCCTGGGCCTATATCATTCTGTTTTATTCTCTGTGACACTTAGTCTGGTCTCAAATGGTCTTTCAGTGTTTGTGGTTAGGTTTATTCTCTGTTCTCAAGGGCAGGAGCCATTGTGGGCCAGGGCCACTGC